TAAATCATTTAAATGCCTCTCCCCCCATATGCAATCACAAATTAAATTGCCCAATTATTTTATTTCCGCCAGCAGTTTCCTCTTCCACTGGTTTCAGAAAATGAATCAGTGATGTCAGAAGACTACTGCTATAAATACTTATTGGGTTATTCACTAAAGTGAGAATTGTTAGCAATTTAATGTAAAACTCAAATTTAAGACAAACACAGACAAACACAGACAAACTGGAAAATATCAGCTATGCTTCCAGTTTGAACACCTTGAAAATGTTAAATTCACTTTGAATTCCAGACAATTCTTACTTTAGTAAATTATCCTGTGTATCTATGTCATCGTAAATGTGTAATTCCAAAGCAATACACAACGTTATTTGAAAAGGTTTGTGAATCCATCAAAATGATCTATGTTTAACTGGGAATTGTTTTAGAATGATCTATGACATACAGCCTCACAGTATAGATTGTGTTGGGGGAGTTGACAAAGCGTATTACAATGGCTGAAATACAAATATTGGTACAGTCTCAATATGTTCTTCAAGTATTAACATCAATGAAAGAGAATCCATATAAACAGATAACTGTAATTTGAGTCAAAGACTCAAATCAATAAAATAGGTTTTAGTTTGAGGATCTCGTTCTTAGGACACGCTCATCACATATTAGTTATCACCAACAGGTACATTTTGTTTCTTAAAGGACCACTACAGGCACCCAGACCACTTCAGCTCAATGAAGTGGTCTGGGTGCCAGGTCCATCTAGTGTTAACCCTCTGAAACTGCTATGTTTACACTAGCCTCTAGTGGCTGTCTCACTGACAGCCGCTAGAGGCGTTTCCGTGCTTCTCACTGTGAAAATCACAGTGAGAAGACGCTGAATGTCTTTCCTATGGACTGTTTGAATGCGCACGCAGCTCCTGCCGCGCATGCACATTCAGCGCCGACGTCGGCAGAAGGAGGAGGGTTCCCCAGTGCCAAGGGAGCCCAGTGCTGGAGAAAGGTAAGTGTTTAAGCCCTTCAGCCCAGCGGGAGTGGGACCCTGAGGGTGGGGGTGGGGGGACCTAAAGACCCTATAGTGCCAGGAAAACGAGTTTGTTTTCCTGGCACTATAGTGGTCCTTTAAGGAATATGAATTTCTAAAGAACTTAAAACCAGAATTGTTGAAGCTCAAGAGATCGAAAAATATCACAAAACCATTGCTACAGATGTTGGCCTCCAGTTAAGTCATAGGCAGAGTGAAAGTAGAAGGAGTGGTTGTCCATCTATAACCACTCCACAGGTAAAGGCATATGAAACTCCACGAGTGGCGGCTGGTGAGATTTTAAGATGGCGGGGACCAGACTCCTCTCTATACAGTGTACAGATACCCATACAATACAGAGAGCTAAGCATAATAGAGAGTTGCTCAAACAATAAAACACGCTTGGCACAACCTAAAGGTATCTATAAAATACATAGAGCTGAGTACAATACAGAGATAACCATACCACAAACAGAGTTAAGTAAAAAAATTGAGATAATATGGAGAAACTCATTACTACTCCACACATCCAGGCTTACTGTGATGGATTACATAGAGCTGCAATACAGAGATATCAAAGGGGAAGAGAGAGACAGGGGCTGGGGACTCAGAAGGGCTGGAGGGAGAAAAGGACAAGGTGCTGAGGGGGAGGACACACAAAGGGGTTGGGAAGGGGAGAAAAAGACACGCAAAAAGGTGTTTGGGGGGAGAAATACCCGGGTTGACTTCAGGTACTTTATATGTGCTCTTAGACATAGTATGAGCAGGATATCATATAATAGAATTTATAGGAAAGGGAGAGAGAAAACAGAAATAAAGGGGCTTAGGCAATATGCCCTAAATAGATTATAAACAAGAAAGAAATTAAATAATAAGAAAACCAATAGATAAGAGTCCAGATTGGTGTTATGCAGGTACGTATGGAGCAAACAAGTTGTATGGATCAGGCTGGAAGAAATCAGGCGGGTAAGATAAAGCGTACTTCAAGCTGGTAATGAGCAGGGTTGGAAGTATGCAGGATTGAGGAGTAGTTCAGGCTGGTATTGAGCAGGGTTGGAAGTAAGTAGAATTGAGGAGTAGTTCAGACTGGTATTGTGCAGGTTTGGAGGTAAGGGGGATTGACGCAAAGAAGGTAAGTCCACAGGTTCTCTCTCTTGTTACTAAACAATGACCTCCTCCCGGCAGAGGAGCAAGCCGGAGACACAAGTACCACTGGACCATAATGGCATGTAGTTACCCCCTTCCAGTCTAAAGGTAAGAAGCAGAGAGGTGGAAATAAAATTAACTTTAAAAAAAATTTGATTAAATAAAAAAAAAGGAATATTTTTACCCCCTACAAATCCTACCCACAAAGGCACACACATGCTGCCTCCTCTATAGTGCATTCACTAGAAAAATATATTCTTCTTCCCTTATACACACACACACACACACTGCATCCCTTACACACACTTTCTCCTCTATATACTCGCTGCACATACACACTTCTTCCCTTATACACAAATGCTGTACCCTTTACACACCCACTTTCTCTTTTAGACACACTGCATCCTCTATACACAGATAGCATCCACTATAAGCACACACTGCATACACTATACACATACAAACTACATTCCATACAAACACACAGTACATCCCCTACCACAGCTGTAAGTGCCAGGAAGATGGTGGTAGGATGGGGTCAGGCCATGCGGGCAGACAAAATTTCTGATGGCAGCCATGATCACCCACCAGCTTTAGGTATATGCCTAGTTACCTAAATGATGTTCAAAGTTTGCACACACGCCTTTTTGATGACCTCAGCAACTGTACCACCAGTAGGTCCACCAGTGGCCTTAGCTCAAGGTGTTCCCAGGGCACTGATCGCATAAAAACACTTTAAGTTACCTCACTAACCGTTTCTATTTGTGGATGTGTTAACTTATTTTCCAGCTCAAATCTTGGATTGTGATCAGAACAGAAACTTAAAACCCTCCAAAAATCTCAAGCTGTTGCTGTCGTAAAACCTATAACATTGATTCACTCCATACATTTAAAGAACACTGAAGTCTGTTTTTTTTTGGGGGGGGGGAAGACGGGGGGGGGCGAAGGAGTAATCATTTTAGTTTTACAATTAAATGTGCATTAAAGAAGTCACCTAACATGATACATCCAGTATGAAAGAGAAATGGTGGCTTTCTCATTCATGATAGAATCCTCTCCTGCTAAATGGAACTCTCTCGTCCTCTTCCCCGCCCGCAACTCTACAGCCACCTGTTTCTCATCATGAACTGCGTGTGTATCTGGAGTGATGATGGATTCCAGG